TATTTTACCTCTAGCAATCATATAGCTGTTATCAAGACCAAGCATGTGCTTTGTGCAGGAAGGACGTGGGTTTGGTTTGCAATATTCAATAAAGTTTGGGTGAACACCAAAGTTATCTTTTTTTAAAATATCCTGGATGCATTCCTTTTGAAGGAATGCTGCTAGAGCAGTGAAACATGCATTAGATCAGCTATCACTGCTGTTACAATCCAGAGTTTTCCATGAAGCTGCATTTTAATCTTCTCTTGGAAACTGTTTTTTGGTGTGGAAAGTTAAAGAAGCTTTTATTTTCATCCTTGAAAAAGAAACCAGCTAATGTGAAGGTAGAGGGTTTGTGATCTAGCATCAGAGAGCCTGTACTAGAGGAACATGAAATTGCACTGCCCCAGGTGTGGTCAGGGGACAGCGTCCAGTCCCAGATGTTGTACTTAAGAGCATCTTCTGCAACTTCAGAAGAGGATAGCACCACCACTGCCTTCATAATGTCTTGCATGATTTTTCATGTGACCAAAATCAGATATTTTCTCTTCCATTAGTCTCTTACCTGTTCTAGATCCTCAAGTTGGATGGATCTTGCTTACAAGCAGAAGCAAGAGATAGATTCTTCCTTTGTTTTCTTATTAAGTAGCTCTAAAATTTGAGCCACAGACTACAGTAGTGATACAGAAATACTTTAGATTATTTGTGGACCATGTAGACCCCATCCTTCATTTAAGAAAAAGACAAAAAATTTATTAGTTTTCTATTTAAAAAAAAAAAATGAGGCCAGTATTTAATGGGGATTTCAAATATTCAAATTTACTTCCCATTTCTGTGGTTTAAGATGACATTATTAAGGCTATGTTCAAAGTAGAAGATGCTTAATCTTGACTGGCTCCCTTGTATTTCCCAGAATATAGGGTATTGCTGAGCTCAATAGAAAGTGCTTCCTTGATGTGTGGATGAAGAGAATGGCAAGATCTGGATTTTCATCTTCATTCCTTGTTTTATGGTGTGGTCTCTGGGAAGGAGAGATCTACTCCCTGTTTCTTACTGTGTTTTTCCCTCACTTGAGAGCAGTTGTGTAGATGGTTGGCTTTGTCTAGCACTGACACAGTGACAGTATTTCTGGAATGGGCAGAGAAGGGCTGGTCAGTGGCTTGTCTTGGAAGTGCTTTGTGTTAATGCTGAAGAGCAGACCAGCATTGATTAGGGAGCAGTAGACATTTTTACATTCATTATAGGTAAGTTCTAATTTAAGCAAAGACACAGAACAAAAAGTTTAAAAAGAAATTTAAGGAAAGCAACACAATGTTTCCTGGTTGAAAAGACCTAAAGTAATAAACTACAGGGAATAGATTGCCTGGGTTGTACTGACAAACACTAGTAGCATACCACTAAGGAATCTCAGGCTGGTACAGTGACAATTTGGAAGACCTCATTTTTCTGAAAGCTGTGGTATAGGGGTGTTAAATTGTGAAATTATGTTGTACCACAAAAATAGCAAATTATTTCCATGTTATTTATATGTAACTATAGTGCAGTGTAGTCTTGCCACCATTGTTTGTTTTTGCTGACAAGTCTGATAGTTTGTTGCCCAACAACTCAGACAGGTTTTTCTTTGTCTCCTTTTAATTCTGTGTGAGGTATTGTTGTATATTTGAAACGTTTCCCTTACTAGATTAGTTAGATATGCAGTGATGCTTCCTAAATTGTAGGGGTCTGGGAGAGACTGATCTGCTGCTGTTGAAGTTCAAGTGAGGTGGAGGATCTGGCACTGCAGCTAAAGGCACATCAGGTTTGTTTTTTTTTTATTCAGCAGAACAATTCCTGTAGCAGAAGCTGCCCCTGGTGACTAATGCAGGGTTGGGATATTTATAGACCTGCATATCCACAGCCCTTCTTCACTCCAGCAGGCAGTCACCCAAATACAAAAGTCTTCTGGAATTAAAGTAAAAGTCAGAAATAAAATTAGTCCAGCAGTTTGGTTCTGACAACGCAGTGGAATGCAGGAATATGTTGGGTAATAAAATGTTTTCCTTGCAGTGGGAGTGCAGCTTTGGAAGCTGTGAGTAGATGCACAGTAAATGGGGTGTTCTTACTATGTCATGTAGTCAAAACATTATGTTTTCTATCCCGAATTCATACCCTGCAATTGCATTATTGTTCCATCTGAAGAGGTTGTCATCTTTGTTTCTCCTGTCCTTGGCCGGCCAGGAGAGGAAAATTTGTGTCTGTAGAGGGCCTAGTGTGACCTTTGGTTCATGGGACCTTGACTGTGGTGCTACCACTGGCGTGGAAGAAAAATTGCTATTCTGTTTTAGTTCCCCCTTCTAGCTGAGAATGCTGTTACCTAGCTAGGTGGCAAATTAGAGCTAGATTTTTATTATGTTTCCAGAGTAAGACAGCATTTCTTCTTTGAAAATGACCAATGTCATTCCTCCTGCTGGTGTTTTATTTTTAAAAAAGCCAGGATAAGATCAGTTTGTGTTCCCCACACAAGGAACCCGCAGTTATGGCCTGACTTCCATGTGTGCTGCTGCCGAGTAAGTGCATTTATTACCATGTTGAGAACTGTCTTTTGCTCACATGGATAAAATGCACCTCTGATGGTGTGTGTGAGGAGGTAGACTCTTTGCTGCAGTACTTTGGGTAAATGCTTTTGGGGTTAAAGTTTTAGGCAAAGCTAAATAGCAAGGGTCTTGTAGGTTCTTCTTTTGTTGGGAGGCTGAGAGAATGGGATTACATATCTGTATCTGATCTTGTGACAATGGAAAGGACTGGCTGTGTGTTATAAATAGAATTGATTGATTCTGCTAAGGACACCATGGACAGCAAACCATAGGGTCACTGTGCCTTATGGCATGATACTGGACAATAAAATTAAAGCTAAGGGGATTTTCTTAGTGGGTAGCAAGCTGTGCTTTACTCTGTCAGTGTTCCTTTCTGTTTTTATTTTTCTTTCTCTTCTTTTTGTCAGAAGAGAACAGGTTTTTCTTGCCTTTTGAACTCTTCTGGAGCAGCTTGATATGTAGATAGCTTGAAGTCTGACTTGTACCTCTCATGCTCCTTCTTATTTTTTTTCTTCCCCAAAAATTTGGGAGAAACTGTGGAAGAACTGCACTTAATTTTTCTGTTAGGAATTCCAGAGATAAGCTAGCATGTAAGAAATGCACGTAAGAAAGGAATTTCAGAAGAGAAAGCTGCATTATTTACAGAGTAGCCATCTGAATATATTTGGTTTGAGAATTTCAGGTTCTGTTACTCAAAATTAAACATGAGTAGACAGAAAGTATCGGCTTATATTTCTAATGTCAGAAGGAACCTGTGACTTTTGGCTCCCAGAAATGTGAAATTTGGCTCTTAATGTGAAAAGTGAACTAGGATGCAAGTGCAGTTGAATCGCTTCTAAAGCTTGGGAATTGTGTCCTGGTTATGAACTGGGCTCAATCTTTTCTGATACGGATAGAAGATAAGCAGATTTTCCTCCTTCTTATGTGTCTATTGGCTGTTGTGCACAGGTAGGAGATCTTTCAAATCTTAGATTTATCTGAGGTGAAGCAAGGCTGGAAGCAGTCCCCCCAAAATGCTATGTCATTAGTGACTTTATTAAAGTTTGTTTGCTTGGGGTTTTTTTTTTTTACAAAGTAATATAGTTTTAGGTCAAAGAAGGACTTTGTCTAGAGCAATAAAGTCAAGATATTGCTATGAATTAGATATCTGAGTGTTATAACCATTAAAACCCATACAGATCTGAAAGCTTGTAGGTGTTTTTATTGAGGGAACGAGCCTGTGATGGAGATTAGGGGGTTATATCTTGTTTAGACTACAGTGAGTGTAACTTACAAGCATGGATGATTTAATTTTAGACTGGTTAGTTGCATATAGTGCAAATGGTGTAGTATGATAGCAAATACCTTGGCACAGATTAAGTTGTGGAATATTTTCCAGCAACCCAGGTGGGTTTTGCAACCTGTGGAGAGCTGTGTGAAATTACAGCTGTAATGCTACAAAAATCTTAATTGTCTTGAGTTGTCTGCATTAATTATATTTACAGCAGTGACCCTAATGGACATATATTCTGCTTCAATATAGAAATTTGCTTTAACAACGAAGAATATGTTTAGTGTACAAAACTAACTTACTACTTGTATGTCAGTTTTCAGGGAGTGTGTTTTTCTCTAATGATTTAGAATTAAGGAGGATCCATTCCCTAACTCCAAGTGATTGACTCATCAAATGACCTTGGGCAAGTTACTCACCCACCTTGAGCATCAGTTTTCCCAGTTGGAGTATTAAGTAAACAGTGGGAAACCTGCTGAAAGCCAAACGTTACAATTGACTTGAGGCTTCATTGCTTTCTGTTGTTTTGCTTCTTCACAAAAAAAAAAAAAAAAGAAAAAAGAAAGATTTCATTATTTTTTTAAGTCAGTGTTTGAAAAATATACTCTAGGTCTGCTACTCTGACCTGTAGACCTAATGTTCAGATTAAGAGAATGTGGAGCCTCCTCTGCAAATGAACATCTTGCTATGTCTACTAGGTCTTCTGATCTCACTACTCTGCTGCTATGAACCATCTAGAAAACCAGAGTTTCCTGGGAAGCTGCAGTGTATCCCTCAGATAAAAATAAGATTTGGCTGGTACCTATAGTAGCGTTACAAGAATAGTGTTTTTTTCTGAAGATCAGCTAGCTGTAGACTGATTTAAAAAAATTACAACAACTTACTGTGAACTAGCTCTTCTGCTCTTAAATCAAAGAATGCAGTTGCCCAGGCAAGTGCTGTAAAATTCTTCTGATAATTTATGCTGGCTCTACATACAGTCTTCTGCTTCAGTGCTGAGATCTTGAGGTTTCCCCTGTTTATTCTTGAATGAGACAGTTTTCCCCAAGGCTTAGTGGACTGCATTGTGGAGACTGCAAGTAATACTCAAATCAGCATACTTGTCTTGAGGTTTGTTTAATGAGCTGCTTCTCTGCCATCTGAGAGAGCTGTTACTGGGTGAGCCACGCCTCGGTGGCATGGCTTTTTGTAGGGATTCTCCTCGTGTGTCCTGCTGAGATGTACAAAGGCATCTGGTACAGGTCAGGGGAGCTGATGGCAGCTTTCCCTTCTGAAGTGCCCTGCTCTGCTTGGGCAGTGTCCTTGCCCCACAGGTTTGTGTTGGTTCAGTAATTCCAGCACAAGCAAAGCACAACGTATTTTTTTTTTACAGAGTGCACCAGAGGGAAGGAAAAGTTTATAGTCATCTTTGATGTGTGCATGAATTCTCTTTTCAGATGTTTTTGAGGTCACTGGAAAGAACTTTATATTTGAAAGAAAGTTGCCAGAAAAGAAGTTAAGTAAAAGCTCTGAAGCTCTGGTGGTAATTCTGTTGCTGTACCTTCTGGTTGCTTCTAGGTGGCACTACAATAAAATGAATAAGTGCGTTCTCTAGCGATGAGAAGCCAACTGTTGAGCTGGTTGGGGCTCTGCTGGTCACAGTGCAGCAAGGTGCAGCTGGCACATACTCTAGGAAAAAGGAGGAAAGAAGTAAACTTACTTCGTTGTGATAGAATTATCTGAACTATATGAGTTGCATTTTACAGAAGTGTGAGACAGTGGTTGCTTGGTGACAAACTGTTTTTGCTTTAGTGCCAAAAAGGTATTATAGTAAGAAAGTCACCTGATATGATGACTTGTAAAACAAATCTTATCAAAGCAAAGTTTAAACCTTTAACTTTTTTTTTTTTTTTCTAAATTTTTTTAATCAGAGCTAGACAATGGTCTGGCAAGATATAAAAATCCTAATCTATTAAACATAAAGCTAAATAGCTAAAACTTTCCTTTTTTTCTGTCTTTTCCAGCAGCTCCATGAGACTGTGAAAAGAAAGCTTGATAGTGCTGCTTCCCCTCAGAATGGAGACCAGCAGAATGGCTTTGGTGATGTATTTTCTGTGTCCAAGAAGCTGCGTCATGATGATGGTCTTGGTGGAGTGAGTGGTTCTTCCAATGGAATGCCCCCTGTGTCTCCACTCCATCATCTTGACAAGAAATCTGGCAGTGGAGATACCTTACAGCTTAATGGAAAGCATCCGATGGGGCTAGATGGCATCAGCAAGAAGTGTCTTCCAGATTCCAGCCTGCAAATGAATGGAGGTGGTGATGGAGATGACTCATTTCCTCTGAGTTTGAATAAGGAGCTGAAGCAAGAGCCTGTAGATGATCTTCCATGTATGATTGCTGGAGCAGGGGGTTCTATATCTCAGAATAACTTGATGCCTGACCTTAATCTTAATGAGCAGGAAT